AAGGTAAAGCCAATAGAAAAATCAGAGACAAAAATGTCCATTCTGTCTATTGTGCTCATTACTAAATAATTATAATAGTTGAGCAAATGGGTTGATATTAGAAATCAACCTTGAGTTTATCATACAGAGTATGAAGCTGCATGGCTCTGTCTTTATCAAGTTGGGGCGATAAGGCAGGCAACAACACAGCAAATGGAACTTGTTTTCCTCGACTTATGGGATTATTTGGCTGCACTGCTCCACTGGCCTGTTGATTACTCATCTTCTGTAATTTTGCATATTGTGATTCACTGTCTTTATTATTGGTTCTCTCAGGTTCAAGTGGGGTAGGACTTTTGTCGGTAGTCTGAATCCCAGTCGTTTGAGCAACCTGGGGAGGAATTTGTTCAGTTACTCCTTGTTCACGACCATCTTGGGGTTGTTTTTGTGGAGGTAGTAGACGACTATGTTCCTGCTGAACATCATTTGGCTGTTGTACTTGTTGCTGACTCCCTGTAACAACAGCTCCCTGTTGCCTTTGCTCCATAGGAGATGAAGTCTGATGTTTCTGTTGTGCACTTTGAAGGACTTGTTGATTTTTGAAGTTAATGTTTCCGTCTTGCCCAGGGGTCGGCCATGATGCAGGATTGCTTCCTTGAGATAAAGATGCTGTATTTTTCAACACAACATAACAAGCATTCAATGAAGTTCCTAGGAGAACCAATTCATAACCAACAATTGCAATTATTAACACAAGTGTAAAGCTAATGACACTCTCAATTAAAAAAAAAATTATAACCCTTAATTAACAAAAATCACTGAATTCCCCTATAAAGATACAATTTATAAAACCAAATCTTTCTTAGTCTAGCAAATTAGAAGCCAATGAAGACCGAAAACTATAAAAGAAGATACCAGAACATGAACCAGAATGCTGAGAAGTCGGCGTATCGCCTTCAATATCTCGATTTAACGCGGCCTGGAAAGCCTCAACGTCAGCTCCAGAATGCATAGACTCGTCCTATTAACAGTGTTTTTTAAAAAACAAATTGGAAAATAGATTAAATAACCTTCACTTATTACGAATTCTATAGATATTGAAGAGAGTAAAAAGAAAATCCAGAACAAGGAAAAACCTCGTCTTCTTCAAGGAGCTTTACTATGGAAGGGTCCATCACGAGCTATACGGGCAACCGGCTGCAGTTTCCTCTACCTAGACTGCCGGTGAGCGTAAATCGTTCAGCTTGCCGGATTGAAATTATGTATAATAATTCAAAAACAATTAAGAAAAGTTCAGAAGGGAGAAGTAGTCTTTGAAGTGAATCTATAAACGGAGGAAAGCGTTCAATAATGTGGTTCTTAGCTTATAAAGACCTAAGTAGGCCTATACTGAGTTGGCTAATTTTGTATCGGTAAACTCGGTTCGTAATGGACTTAAAAAGCCTATTATGGGCTCATATTATAGGATAGTATAAGCAAAATTCAAATCGATTTGAAAAATCGATCTTTTATATTTAAATCTATTTAAAAAATTCATATCAAATTGAATTGATTTTTAATGTTATAAAATTGATTCAAAAAAATTAAATTCTTCGAGTTATAAAATTTTATAAAAAAATCGATCGGTTTTTAAGTTTGAGTCGAGTCTCACAACTTTGTATTATATATGTATATAATATATAAAAAAATATATATTGTATAAAATTATTAAAAAAACCCTTTAAACTGAAGTCAAATAGTATCATAATATAAATATTTATAATTAAATTTAAATATAAATTTAAATAATTTGACTAAAATTTCATAAATCTGACTCAATTAAAAAAAATAAATAAAATTGAAGTTATAAAATAAGATTCATTAATTTTAATAACTTGAATTTTTTTACTTAACTCGACTCGATCGAACGATAATCCTAACAGAGGGTATTGGCTTTGTGTGTTTAAATGAAATACATGTACTTTATATTTTAAGGATAAAAATATAAAGTGGTCCCTTTTAATTTTTAATAATAATTCAATCCTTGCGATTAATTATTAAACTTATTTTAATCGATAAATTTCCACTTATTTCAATTTTTTCATAATGATGAAATAGTTCGTGATTTAGCAGTAAAAATTACTGAAGAGGATAAAATCAAGGCTATATTGTACGGATGATTATTCAATTGTTTAGGTTTAAGGTTTATGGTTTTAACATTGATGTTTTGATTTTATTGATAAGACCATCCAATTATTTAAATAATTCAATTAAATTATTAATTGTTAACTTCTAACGGAAGAGGTAATGTAGTAATTAAATATTTTGGTATAATCACACATTAATGTATATTATTTATATAAGGTGTCAATTTGATTCTAATTTTAATTTAATTTAATAAATTTAATTTTCTAATTAGATTTGACATGTGCAAGTCTATAATTGAATAGATAAATTTATTTTTAATTTATTTATTTAATTCATTAAATATTTTTGTGTGACATATGTCACCCTTCTAAAAGAAGAATGTGATTGGTGGGATTCGAACCTAGAAAATCACTGAGCCAAAAGTATCAAATGGTTTATATTAAACAACCTATAATATATATCTTACTAATTAATTGAAAATTTAATTTAAATTCATAACATTTTATATATTTTAACTTTAAAAATATATTGTATTCTTATTTTAATTTAAAAATATATTTTATTCTTATCCTAACTTTAAAATTCTATTTTATTCTTTTATTAACTTAAAAAATGTGTTTTGTTATTATCTTAATTTCAAAGAATATATTTTATTTCTTATATACTTTATTCTTATCTTGATTTAAATATTTATATTTTATTATTATAATATTTTAAAAGTAATATTTTAATATTATTTTTGAAAAAATTAGAACATTTAAAATATATTTTTAATAAATTTTAATTAATTATTTAAATTCATCACTTAATTAACATCAAGTTCTAATAAATTAATATATTTTTTATTAATAGTGTAGTCTGATTAAACCAAGAACAAATAAAAGTAAAATATATTTTTAAATTAAGATAAGAATAAAATATATTTTTAATTTAATATAAGAATAAGATATATTTTTTGAAGTTAAAATAAGAATAGAAGATATTTTTTAAGTTAATATAATAATAAAATATATATTTTTAAAGTTAAAATGAAAATAAAATACATTTTAAAGTTAATATAAGAATAAAATATGTTTTTTTAAAGTTTAGATAAGAATAAAATATTTTTTAAAGTTAAGATAAGAATAAAATATGTTTTTTTAAAGTTGAGATAAGAATAAAATAATTTTTTTAAAGTTAAGATAAGAATAAAATATTTTTTTTTGATTAAGCTAGGGTGATTGCAAAATAATATATGTTTTAAATACTCTTAACTACTTGACAATAAACATCTAATCACCCTCGTAGTCACTGGTGCTCGAACCCATAAACTCTAGGAATAACAATGATTCTTTTAAGTTTTAACCACTAATGTATGTTGGTTCAAGTAATAAAATGTATTTTTTAAAGTTAAGATAAGAATAAAATACGTTCTTAAGTTAAAATAAGAACAAAATATATTTAATAAGTTAAATAAAAAATAAAAAAAATTTTACTGTTTGGATATAAATTTAAGTTAATATGTATAAAACAATTCAACTAATATACTATATATATATATATATTATATGTTGTTATGCTTCAACCATCCAATTCTCTCGGCTTAGTTGTTGGGCTTATGCAAGAAATCAAACGTACCCCATGATTGAATCCCATTTATCAAATTCACGTCTAATTTATTTTCTTATAATTAGATGGTGACATATGCTATCCTTTGATTGAATGAATTTTTTTAATAAATTATAAATTAAAAATAACCTTATAATCAGAGACTAATATTGTCACAATTTAATTAGATGATTAAATTTATTAAATAAATTAAAATTAAGATTAAATTGACACCTTGTGTAACTTGTGTAAGTAATTGAGACCAAATGTGTGATTATATCAAAATTTTTTAACTTCCATGTCACCTCATCGGTTAAAAGCTAACGGTCAATGACTTGATTGAAGTATTTAAATAGTTAGATGGTCTGATAAAGGAAATCAAAACGTCGGTGATCAAAATGAAAGTGAGGAATAGTTGAGTGGAGAATAGTGGGATATAATTTCTAGTGATCTCCAGATTGTTCAGTACGTGTCCTCAAATGTACATAAAATTTTAACCCACCAACAGCAATTTGTGGAAGAAAGATTGAGAGACAGTAAAAGGAGAAAAACAGTAATCAATTTCGATCTCCATGAAAAGAATAACAGTAAAAGTAGAATTCCGATCAATAAAACCACAAGGGTTCCGAGACTGTTAGTTATACAGTTATCGATTTCAATAAATCAAAGTAACAAAAAGGCAGCACTCTCCAATGTAACCCCAAAACGGCTCCTGGATTGTTAATTATGCAATTTTGATTTCAACAAATCAATGTATGATAACTAACAAAAGGCAGCAGGACAGGCCAGGTTTAGAAATCTTCATAACCTACACAGATGGCAAAGTGCCCGAAGTTTCGACCCTGAAGACAAGAGGAACAAACATTAACCGGTCGATGGCTGAAATGTGCATTTGGTTGTCAAACACTCGATCACCTTCACATGGAAGACGCTTACCTCGGATAACGTTCGTTGCTTGTTTAATTGCCGAGTTCTTGCCTTGTTAACAACTGAATTCGGTGATTTGTACATTCTCTGTATTAAAGAATCAGTGTTAATTTCATACCTTTCGTGATGTTCAAATACAGTAATCAGGATAAACAAAGTAGGATTGAACTTTCCAAATTTGGATATATGTTCATCGGCTACAAGATCTCGTCTTTTCGGCGTGAACCTGAAAACATCTTGAAGGAATTCATTATTCTGCACAAAGAAACGATTATTTCTTATAATCCACAAGAAAATTTAAAAGGCAAGCTATTTGCATCAATAGATGTCAATCTCTGAAAGAGCATCAACCTGCATATTGAAATTTGAGAATACTGTTATCAAAATCCATGACATGCAACTGACATAAATTGGAGAATTAGAAGAGGAAGAGTAACCTGAATCAACTTAGACCATGTTGACGTATGGAGTGTATCCTCACCAATCTTCATCGATGTCTCCGGAGAATAACCATACTGACGTCAACAAGTGAATCAAAGTTAGCATGATTAATCAGAAGAACACGTTGGTGGGAATTAAAGATAAATACGAGTACCTCAAGGAACTCCAAAACATCCTTAAACAAGCTCCTCTGGTTATTAAGATCTTTCTTGGAAGAACTTTTACCACCACCTTCCACAAAGAGGTCTCGGGCTTGATTTAGAATTTTTTCCTTCAATCCATGTATATGTGAGAATCCTTCTTTTGATTTATTTCCTTCTGAAACTGAGCCATCACATGAACCTTTAGCTTCACCTGCAAGCTTCTCTAAGCTTCCCATCCCAAAAATCAGTGCCAGTGCTTCACCAGCAGCAATTTGCACGGATCGGTCATCTTTATCTAGCAAACTAGACAAATGTAACTGATCTGCAGAATATCTCGAGACCAGTCAGACTGTTAGCCCATTAAATTTTCCTATGTTTTTGTTGGTATATTATTATAGGACTGAAAACAATACAAAGTTGATTGGCCTAATATCTAAGCTTTAAATCCTGAAAATTACTTTAGCGGAGTTGCATATGAATGAAGGGATCATAAAGACAATAAATTATCAGATTAAAAAAAATGGAAAACGTGTGATCTAGAGAGGTCACTAACCCTTTCCATAGTTTAGGACCGAGTCTCCATCCATCCATGGTTGTCAAGAGAAATGACCAGGCAGACACAGCCGCTGTTATTACAGCAGCAGTGGGTTTGACAGTACTAACCTACAAGTCAAACAAATCTTCAAATTAAGAAAAACATCGTGTTTTGACATTAAAAAGTTGCAAGCAATAACTAATGTGTGAACCTCAAATAATTTTATCAGATGCCTTTCAATTAGTGGAACTCAGGCATGTATACTCACGTTAGAGCTTGATTTCGAGTGAACTAATTGCTGCATAATTTGCATTGAATTTTCTATTTCCTCAGGATCATTCCCCCCAACAAAAGTGATTACCACCAGACAGTTGAGTAACTACAATAAGAAACCAGATCATTTAAAAAAGCAAGTGGCTGAGCATCGTGATTCATTGTACCAACACAGTTACACAGAAAGAATTCAATTCCTTGTTCAATTTCTTCATACCAAAATGATCTTAGAAGATTCTGAGCTGGATTTAAAAGCCTGTGAAAGAGGGTCGATTGATTCTTTCAATATTTTGTGTGCATTATCTCCCGGACCGACAGTTAAAGCCAACAAACCTACCAAGATAAATCGTCAGCTTGACTATTGAATCCTTAATGTTTTCTTCAGCACATATGGGATAAGCATTTTCCAAGGTTATCAACAATAAGCGTTCAAGACTGACCAACAGTACGGGATGCTAAAGCTATCTCTTTGCTGGACCCTTTCTTGATACAATTCAGACACTGATGAAGTACTGTAGCAAATCTGCTGAACAACACGGAATAAATGATGTGATAGATACAAGTTTTCAACCATATATTATGAATCATACGAAACATTTCCACCTACAACATGTAACCATGCAAATAGTCCAATCGGCAATGCTTGAAGATCAACATAAACCGTAACAGAGAAAGAAGGATTCAAAATAACAGGCACTTACTTATTCTAAACCAAACAGATGCTGCAAGTTGAAATTGAAATAACAACATGACAGATTCAAGTGGTCAACCATATATTATGAGCCATAACAAACATTTTCAGCCACAAATGTAACCGTGCTCGTAATCGATCAGGCAATTCATGCAATCAATATAAATCACGACCAAGATAGAAATATTTAAAATAACAGGCAATTACTTATTGTCGAGAAATTGATTCTGTAGGTTGAAACTAAATGCTGCATTAATCACTTCCAAAGCCTTCTCTCGAGTCGAACCCCTTAATCAACAAAATAAAAAACACAAGAATTCAGCATCATTCAAATCCAAAGCGTTATTATTGAAAACAAAAATACTAGCAAAGTAACTAATTTCACTATAACAAACAAAGACGAGTCAAATGCATCGTATTTTAATCCAAAAAACAATTAATATTAGATACGCAAATAATCAAATACTAACCTCTTCTCGAATAAAGCGTCGACTGCTTCATCAAGTAAACTATCCTTATAGAACACTGCCTCTTCGGTACCAGAAAGGGACATTTGATCGGAACGAACGGACGATGATGAAATTACATTACAATTATCATCGTCACTATCTAACATCGCCGAATTCTTACGCTGAACTCTACCTACCAAATTCAAATAATTCGATTCTTTCAGCTAAAAAACAAAGTCATTCCAGGAAAAAAAACAGCACCAGACAAACCCCAAAACAAATGATCATTCAACAATTAATGGAGAGATAATAAAAGAATTGCGAAAATTAGATGTTAGAAAAGTAAAATGAAAGGAAAAAATAACCCAATAATAAAAATGAAAACAGTCAAGAAGATTCTAACGTTTTCTCATGTTGCTGAAGCCTCTTTAGAATTCTTTTTTTTCTTGTTCTTTCAGAAACAGGTACGAGATTGACCAAGAATCTGATGAAATGACTCGGAATCTAAAAAACAACGAACAAAGCAAAACTGAAGACCCGAACAAAACAACGAAGACGACGAAGACAATTGACGACGACAAAAGTGAATCTAATAACAATTAGCCATTAAAATTGATTCTTTTTATATTAAAAAAGTAATTATTTTGATTGGAGGAGAAAAGTGTTCAAATTATAGAACAAAGATAAATTTTGGACGTAAAAATTTAGTTCATCCTTTTATAGGCAAGGTAAAAAGGTTAAGTTTGGGTTTAGGAATTTGGACTGTGTGTGGAGAGATGTTGCTTGTTACCATGCGAATCTTGACGTGGCATAACAAACGCCGTTGACAGAGAAACTATTTTTTATCTGATGAGGATGCCAAATAGTCTAGGAAGCGACTTTGGCTGATTCTAGTGGGAGGTTAAAGATTTCGAGGGTGACTTATTATTTTTGGATAAGCCAATTTTATTTTATCCAAAGAAGCATTGAAACTGTTATAATCAACATGATACACAGTCACATTCATCGTTACAATGCATCAAATAACCCCAAATTTTCCACCTAGAACAGAGCCCAACATTTATAAGGTTATCCCTGCAGTCTGATGCCAACCACGCTTTTAACAACATCCGGCACTATATTATAATTCTTACGAGACTTATTAAACGATCTAGCATTTATTTCCTTCCAAACAAAATAATTGAAAGTATTCCAAGCCAACTTAAGAAGGGAACCAATCAAAGACTTGCCCCTCAAATGACCAACCAGTCAATCCATGCCAACATCGAGCCCCTCTCCTTGTACCACACAATTCCAAAATGGCAGTCCAAATGACAATCGAGGAGGAGCATTAGCTCCGACCAAAACCACCTAGCCTTAACCGTACTCAAATCCCGAACCTTAGAAAACAAAGGAAGAACCTCATTCTTCAATTTCAACTACTTCCTAAAACACCAGCTAGAATTGACCTCAACCTCTACGTGCCTTAACCTTAGGCTTTATTAATTTTTCTTGAATTTGGAAATATATATAAAATGTCAATAGCATCGAGTATTATATCATTGGTAATATATTTAGGTTCATCAGAATAAAACTGTATCGGAATACTTTTCGATAAAATTTATGGTATAAATGTGTGTCATTCGGTTGACCTCTCAGGGCACATAATGTACTTTGAGACTCAAGGGACCATCAAGAAGCATACGTGCCTCGTTGAACATCAATCCGAAAATTAAAATGTATCTATTTAGGTTTGCCAAGCGATTGATTATAGAGATGACATCACCTTCACTAGGACTATTAAGAATGTTGCAATATAGGGATTACTGATGCGTTGTTAAATTGAGATTTAATGAATAAAGTTATGTCTTTGTTTGTTTGTTTGTTTGTTTTTGAAGGTGTTCATATTCAATTCATGTTCGTTTAAATTTTTAATATCGTGTTCGTGTTCGTTTATTTTTAAGGTGTTCATATTCATTCATTTAGTATTCATGAACACGTTCGTTTAACGTTCGTGAACATGTTCGTTTAGCGTTCATGAACATGTTCGTTTGATCTTTGTTTAATGTTTGACAACCAATACTCTCTTTCTACCCTTTTATTTGCAAGCAAGAGAAAAATTTCGAAATTATGCCACTGATACTTATATTTCTAGGCTTTACAGTTTGAACTCCAAGTTTACCTTATGTTCAATTTAGTCCTCTTCTTCATTAATATTTAAAATGTAAAAAAAAATATAAAGAAAAATGATAACTGAGTAAACGAGTTTATAAACAAGTCAATAAACGACCTTATAAATAAACTTGTTCGTGAACATAAATTAACTGAACACACATTTTTTGTATGCATTTGTTTATTAAATGAACATAAAAAAATTTCATACACGTTTATAAACAAACATTATACAAACGATTCACAAATAGTTCAGAACAATTTGTTTATACTCCAACATCCAATATTGGTGGAGATTGATTCATCACGTTGTTCTCCATATCCCATTTTTGTGGCTTTGCATTGGAAGAGCATTTTTATTTTGTTGTCATTTAAATTTTGATAGTATTATTTATTTCGGTAGAGAACACTTTTATGTTGTTATTTTTTTCCACTTGTTTAGTCAGATCTGATTTTGATATCGTACGGTAAACTGTATTTTTTTATCATTTGATTTGTTTTGCAAGAGCCAATTTAATTTCCTCACTTCACTTTTTTGTGTCATTGTTGGATCGGTATGCAGTGATATAAATAAATTCTTATATATTATGAAGTCTTATATAATAAATAAGCATTTAAAGTATATCATTTTTTTATTTAAGTACCTAAAGTATTTAAACTATTCAATTATTTTCATTCAAGTTCTAAAAAAAGTTGACATATACTTAGATGAAAAAATTGAATACTTTAGGTATCAATTTTGAGTAAAAAATATTTAGGTACATATTTTAATTAAAAAAGATATAACTTTAGGTACTTAAATGAAAAAGATGATTTTGACCAAAGCTTATTATAAATTTTAAAAAAAAATCATTTGAATCGAATTGGGTGACCAAAACGAAATAAAAATTTAAGTTTAGTGATGATTTTGTAAAAATAAATAGCTGGGTGACCAAAAAAACCATATGAATAATTGAGCTACTAAATATATAATTTACCCTTACTTTTATTGATAGAGTTAATAGTGTGAGACAAACGAAGTAATCATTTAAACTTTTAAGTGACAAAACATCTCAAAAAATAGTTTAAGAATAACTCAAAGTGCATAATTTAGGGCACAATGGTGCATTTAAGTCAAATTTAAATAGTGCAATAAAAATAGTTTTATTAATTTTATATAAAAGAATTTTAAAATTAAAAATTGAACTTTTATGAAAAAGTAATCATAAAAATAATATAATCACACTATGCTTAAAGAGGTTTTTAACAAGTCGTTTTTGTATGAATTCGGTTTATTCATCCAAACCTTTAAAAAATAATTTAATTAAAATTACTTGTAGGATCAAACAACGTAATCTTACATCATTACCAATTAAACCAAACAATGTATTGTAATATTATCAATTATTTGTCAAATAATGTTACATTTGTTGAATGATTTGGGAGATGCTAATTTGAGCTTCAAACTGTCAAATTATTTCCACAATGCCTTTGATAAATGATCTGGGCATATCAGGTTTGCTTTTGATATATACACATACAAATATTTACATATAAAAGAAATCACTTCCTGACAATGTACACAGGAATAAACTCTTGATGCTGGGATTTCATACCAAACTTCCTCCTATCCACAATAACAACATCGTTGGCTTCGAATTCGCAAGGCTTGTCTTCATCAATTCTGCCCATATTCTTAGGCGACCCCCTTGATCTCGTCTTCATCCTCACTTGCATCGGAGAAAACATCTCCGTCTCGTTCCAACTCCTCGAGCTTGACGTGGCCCTGATAACCTCGCTTAGAACAGCTTCATCTTTGACATCAGACGTTGCCGATGATCTTTCACTGAAGCTCGTCGGCAACTCGTAGAACTGCTCCGGGAAGTTAAGAGGCACATTGTCCGTAGCGGATGCTTGAAGCACAACTCGTCAAAATTCTGATATAACCATCCCTAGCTTTGCTCAAAGCCTTGAAAGGAGCTTTCAGGAAACGCACGAATTTGTTACCAGATTTTCGGCTATGCTCTTTGCTTTTCATCCTGGATGATAAAGATTGAAATTCGGAGGATTTATGGTTTTTTTATCTTAACAATGAGAATCTTGGAGAGGATTTAGGGTTTTATTGAGGTAATTAGGAAGGTTTTGAAGTAATTAAATCATTATTTTTTTTCACCAATAATTTGGAAGGCGTTGAAGTGCTCAACATAAAACTATCAATAGGAAGTCACCTCGTTAACAGGGGAGAGTCTAACGTGTGGCAGGCTAATATACGACTAAGGAAATACGCTAATAGAAATGTTATTATTTTTTTAACATTTCTGATAAAAAATTACATAAAACATTATTATTTCTATCAAAAATGTTATTATTGGGTGTTTTACCGGGTTTGGTAAAGTGTTACCTAAAACATTATTTGTTCTACCGAAAATGAAAATGTTAATATTGGACACTTTACCGAAAATGTTAAAAAACATTAATATTTTAAGTAAAAACATCTTTCCTTAACCATATATTAAAGCTGTCGTACGGTAGAACTTTCCCGTGACAGACATAACGAATGTTATAATTATCGTAACTGTAAATTATTTTATAGAGTATAATTGTTACCGTTAAAAATATGGTATGAGCCTATACAATTTTACTATAAATCAAAATAACTTTTAAAAAATAGGAAAATTATTTAAAGGATTATTAAAAATTCTTAAAATATTAAAAAAATAATTATTTTTTTCAAAATTTATATTTTAAAAAATATAATTATACTTAATTACGTCTAAAAATACAAATTTATATTTTTTATTAAAAATTCTAAAAATAAAATAAAATCTAAATATTTTCTAGGTTTCTCAGTGCTTCTCAAAGTGGAAATACTTCAGATGGAACTGTTTGATAATCCTTAGGTGGCGTTTGGTTCGCTGGAATGTTTCTGAAGGAATTAGAATTTGTGAAGGAATTGGAATCTGTCAAGAATTGAAATCCAATTTCATATTCTGTTTGGTTGGCAGGAAATGGAATTGGAATCCAATTCCATATTCTGTTTGGTTCGCATACATGTTAGATAAATTTGATTTCAATAATGTAAAATGACATAATTTTCCTTATTTTTTTGCTTTATTTTAGTTTGTTTTACAACTTACCTGCAGTAATATATTATAAAAAATTTAAAAATATTAAATTTCATTTTATTGATTGATTATTCATTTCAATAAATTATAAAAATCATGCTAATAAACATTAAAAATTAAAATCATCGCAATCAAAATATGTTAATAAGTTACCAAAAGATAAAGCAATATTTCGATACATTCCAATCGGAGTATGTAAATTAGTTACCAAAAAAATATACCAAAAACTATTTTTATTCAATATATGAATTAGAAACCCGACCCGACACGACACGAAATAATAAAAAAATTATTTTTATTCAATAAAAACATTGACTTAATTG